AAACTTGGCTTTATTATGGAAGCTCTTTTTTTGTCCACCTATTGTGATGGAAAATTTTCCTGGGTATAGGAGTTTGGGTTGGCATCTAAGAGTCTAAGAGTCTCCCTAGACCCTTCTGCATTTTGGAGTCTCCATTGAGAAGTGGGATATTATTCTAATGGTCTGTCTTTATGTTATTTGGTCTTGTAATACTCCTGCTTTGTTCTGTATGTTTAGTGTTTGATTGTTATGTGGCATGGGGAGTTTCTTTCCTGGTCCTGTCTGGAGTCCTGTATGCTTCTTGCACCTTTATAGGTATTACCTTCTTTTTTTTTAAGATTTATTTATTTATTATGTACACAATGTTCAGCCTCCGTGTATGCCTTCAGGCCAGAAGAGGGCACCAGATCTCATTACAGGTGGTTGTGAGCCACCATGTGGTTGCTGGGAATTGAACTCAGGACCTCTGGAAGAGCAGTCAGTGCTCTTAACCTCTGAGCCATCTCTCCAGCCCCCAGGTGTTACCTTCTTTAGATTGGAGAAATTTCTTCTATGATTTTATTGGAAATATTTACTGTAGCTTTGCTTTGTGTTTCTGCATTTTCCTGTATTCCTGTTATTCATAGATTTGGCCTTTTCACAGTGTGCCAGATGTCCTGGATCTTTTGTGTCTGGATTTCTTAGATTTAACATTTTCTTTGACCAGGCTATCTATTTCTTGCATCTTGTCTTCAATGCCTGAGATTCTCTCTTCCATCTTTTGTATTCTGTTGGTGAGGCTTGCCTCTGAGGGTCCTGTCTGAATTTCTTAATTTTCATTTCTGGTTTTCTCTCGGTTTCAGTTTTCTTTATTGATTCTGTTTCCCCCTGCAGCTCTGGAACTGTTTTCTTCATTTTATTCCACCGTTTGTCTTTTCATAGATTTCTTTAATGAATTATTAATTTCCTTTTAGGACCTCTAACATATTCATAAAGGCTAATTTGAAGTCCCTGTCTTCAAAATGTCTCTACTGCACTTCTCAGGGCCTGGTATGGTGGGGTCACTGGGCTCTAGTGGAGACATGTGCTACCTGCTGTTGATGGAATTTTTACTCTGGCATCTTGCATCTAGGATCAGAAGAATTGTAATTCCAGGTGCTGATAGCTGGTCTTGTCTTTGTTGGGTGGATGTTTTGTCCCTTGGTTTCTGTTCCCTTTCCTGCTTCTTAGGGGAGAGTGGTGGCTGTGTGTTACCTTGTAGGGAATGCTGCTGACATTCTGATGGGTCTGACCCTGAGATTCCCTTTAGAATGTGTTTCTTGGTGTTGAAGACTGACACGTAGGGGAAGAGCTGGGCTAGAAGTGGGGCTGAGGGCTGGGAGGTTGCTGATGGGTCCCCAGAGGGAGGATTATGGGGTGTGCCTCCAGTATCTGCTTAGTCCCCTGGGAATGGGTGCAGAGAAGCGGGGAGGCAAGAACTGGTGGTCTGTTGGCTTCCAGAGACTGCCTGCTGGAGTTGGAGGCTCAGACAAAGCGATGTGGGAGAGAAGCAGTGTGACTGCCTGTAAGAGAAGGTCTGTGACCTGCCGGAGATGGGGCAGACAGGAAGAGGACTGAGGCAGGTGGTCTGTTCCAGAGCTTGGGATGAGACTGGGGGATCGAATTGGAGAAAAGACAGATAGTGAAGGTCTGAAGAGTGCCTTCCTGCTTTCCTGGTGGTGTGGCAGGCAGGTTCCCAGGAAGTGTGCCTGCAGAAGTTGGTGGCTGTGACAGGGATGGGGTTGGGGTAAGGGTTGAGGAAGCTATAGAAGATCTGCTTGATCTGCTGGGGATGGGGCAGAGAGGCAGGTCTAGTTCTTTCTTGTGGTACTAGAGTTGGAAGCCAGGGCTTTGTGCATACTAGGAAAACACACCACCATTGGGAAGAAATGAATGACAAACAATGAGCAAAATCTCTATATTTTAACATTAAATTCCGCAGGCACTAGTAGACACTCGGCCTTGGCCTCAATTCCTGTCACTAGATAGTGAAAGGAAGCGGTCTGAAGATGTGTTACGTGGCTGAAGGACTATGGCACAGGTTTACAAGGAGCAGTCTGAAGATGTTACGTGGTGGAGAGACCACAGCACGGGTTCACAGGGAGCAGTCCAAAGATATGTTACGTGACTGAAGGACCACGGCACGAGTTCACAGGGAGCAGTCTGAAGATGTGTTATGTGGCTGAAGGACCACGGCACGAGTTCACAGGGAGAAGTCTGAAGATGTGTTATGTGGCTGAAGGACCACGGCACGAGTTCACAGGGAGCAGTCTGAAGATGTGTTATGTGGCTGAAGGACCACGGCACGAGTTCACAGGGAGAAGTCTGAAGATGTGTTACGTGGCAGAAGGACCATGGCATGGGTTCACAGGGAGTTGGTGTTCCACGTTTGCTTCAGATTAATTCTTTCATGTTAGTTTTCAGCACAGTCGCAGATAGGAACTGGAAGATGGAATTTCTGTAATTACTGAAGAGGAAGTAAGATCCGGGTAGCACCCAAACGTGTTCTTACTTTTCCTGTAGTTGAGAAGCACCATCAGTGAGTAGCGCCATAAACATACCTAGAAGCTGTCAGACCATCTGCTGAGTGTGAGTCAGTCCACTTAGCCAGTGTAGCTGCGATGGGGCGGGGCCTCCCATCAAGACACAGTGGAGCTTCCGCCAGCAGAAGGGCATCGTAACCAGAAAGCTCCTAAGGAAGCTTCACCACCCCTGTCTGTTAGGGATCAGCCATGGAAATGTTGCTGAAGAAGTCACTAACACCAGGCACTTTGTCAGGAACTTTCTAAGTGTGTTTTGCTTGCCAGCATTATAAGAAGGGGCTGCCATTACGATCTCCAGTCTTGTATGTAAGGAACCAGAAGCATGCTGTCATTAACTACCGTGGCAGAGATTTCACACCCAGTGCTCGGAGCGTGGCCACTGCGCTCACACAGACCTTCACCCTTTGCTCCTCCTGTCCTCGCTAGCTGCTTCCCTCGTCTTTCTTCTGTGGAAGCGTGTTTACTCAGGATGTAGAGCAGGTAGTGACCATTGTGGTACAACCTAGTTAGCCTCTAGTTTCTCTGAGCTGTGTCAATACGGCGTTCACTAGTTATATTCACCCCTTACATTTCAATCATATATAGTTCAGTTTCCAGACACACCTGCCATAGCGCATGGACATGTGACTAATGACCCTGTTCCGGATCAGCAGAACTAGGTTGTTCCCATCGTGCACTGTTCTGTTGGGCTAGTCTATTCTAGAGCATGATACTTTCTAGACAGCAGGAACATAGCAAAACCAAAGCCAGGATACATATAGAACGTACAGATGGCAGGGAAGCCTTAAGCCGGCATCATTCAGGCCACTTGAACTTTGATTTTTACCTTGTATTTATCTGAGAATCTTTGCCAGCATTTGATTTTGTATGAATTATTTTTCAGGTTTCACAAATGTCAGTCACACAGTCATAGCAGCATGACATCTCTGTGTTGATGAGGGCTCTGTCTAAAATGTCAGAGGGTGCCTATTGGCTTATGCTATTGAAAAGCCTTATTTGGTTCCCCTTGAAAGAAAAATGGCAGGAGGCCATTTCTGATCCCCTTAAATATTTATAGAGGTTAGTCATTTAAAGTTGAAAAAAATCTACATTTCTTCAAAGACTTTTTGAAGTATAATTGTTCAATGATTAATGTCACTAGAGACCATGACTTACGTGTATCAGCACAAGCCTGAAATTACCCAGGAAGCAGTGTGAGCTTTCCGCTGGTGTATGGTGACGTCATCCTCTTTGAGTTCATCCATGTGTAACCATCTGTTCTTGCCTGCTTTTTATTGTTGCATTTTACATATCATTATTTAATTATTATATTTGAAAGGCATGAGTTTCAGAGGGTGGGAATTAGGCTTGTTCTTACACTGGCATATTTGTGTGTATACTGAGGTGTATCCACTGGGGAATTGGCTCCAAGACCTTGTGAGACACTAAAATCTGGATACTCGAGTTCCTTTAGGTTGACTCATGGGGCTCACAGGTACAGGTGCCTGCTGCCAAGCCTGACAGCCCGAGTTCAATCCCTGGGACCCTATCAATTATGTATGTCTTCATATAATATCTGTGTAACATGCATTTACATGTAAATATATGTCTATAAAATGGCATAACAGTTGCATATATCTTATATAATCCTCAGATATTTTAAATAATCTCTAGATTACTTGTAATTCCTACTACAACAGAAGTGCTCCGTAAACATGTTTTCCTGTTACGTCATAGAGAGTGACACTGAGGGAAACATCTGTGCGTGTGTCATACAGGTGTGCGTGTGTTGTACGGGTGTGCATGTGTAGGACAGGTGTGCGTTGTCGTATGGGTGTGCATGTGTAGTACAGGTGTATGTTTTCTCTTTTAGGGGTTTTTGATATGTGGATGATTGAATCTGCAGATGAGGAACCCGTGGATACTGGAAGCTGATTATATAAATATGTCATATACGTGTGTTTATAGAATTTATTACTTCATTACACATGAGATTTATTTTGTTGCTGAATAGATTATTTGTTTAACTATGTAAAGATGTGTTGCATTTGTTGTATTGCAGAATAATTGTTAACTCTATAAAGATTTGCATTTGTTTAACTATGTAAAGATGTGTTGCTGTTTTACCTTGCCTACCTAAGGTACCTGATTGGTCTAGTGAAAAGCTAAACAGCGAATAGCTAGGCAGAAGAGGGATAGGTGGGGCTGGTGGGCAGAGAGGAAAGGGGAGCCAGCCTGCCAGACATGGGGGAGGCAGGAAAGCAGGACAAACAGCAGATGAGGTAAGCAAGCCTCGGGGAAATACATGGGATGATAGAAATGGGTTGATTTACGTTTAAAAGCTGCCCAGAAACAAGCCTAAGCTAAAGCTGAGCATTCATAATTAATAGTAAGTTTTCTTGTCATGATTTGGGGGCTGGCAGTCCAAGAACACCTGCTACATGTTTTGGCCTAACTGTACATGAAATCCTTTACCTCCAGGAAGAACGAGCTCTGCTTATAAAAGAACTTTCTTCGTTTCGGGACCAAAGGGATCAACTTAAGGCAGAAGTTGAAAAATACAGAGAATGTGACCCACAAGTAGTGGAAGAGATCCGTAAGTTCATGTCTGCTTGTTCACTCTGTGTCATGGGCTCACAAGACAGCTGAGTGCTCTCAGATCTGACCCGGGAAGCATTTCTGAAGTAAAGCAGTAAACAGGCATAGAACAGTCCGGAAACAGAGAGGTCAGAGAAGGAGCACTTTGGTCTTCCCACCTCCAGGCCATGAAGAAATCTGCTATTACCGTCTAAGAAAAGGATACTAGAAATTCTAGAGCTTCCCTTATGTGTGTACCAGTGACTTCTTCCTTGTGTGTGGAGGTCAGAGGGCAGCTTACAGCAGCTGGCTCTCCTTTCACCACACGGATTCCAGGAACCCTACTCGGGTCATCAGGCTTGGTGGCAGCACCTTTTAGCCACCGAGCCATCTTGCCTGCCTTCCTTCAATTTTAAAACAGAATCTTCAAACCTTGCTATTATTAATGTATTTATAGAAACATAAAATTGAACACTTATAGATTTTAAAAAGCATATTATAACAATATAGATTTTAATTGTTAGGAAAATATGTATGACTTTTTAAAAGATCTGACATAGCACATTGACTGAGACTTTGAGAAACCTGGGACTACTTGGTACTTTGGAAGTAGCCTCAGCATAGTTGGATTATAGTTAATCCAATGTGTGGCCTAGCATACACGTGCACATGTGTGTTGTCTTTTGAGAACAAGATCTCTCTGTTCTTTATGTGGCCCAGGCTGGCCTCAGCCTCCAGAGTGCTGGGATTTCAGTACAGCCCAGGTCACCTGCCCAAGGAACCACCTATGAACATACAGTGGAGCCCACAGAGCGGAAGCTCTATTGACCCTGACTAAGAAGTCTAGAATGTAAATACGAAAGGAGAAAAGTCAGCTAAGCGGGAAAAGTGCTGCCGTACGGAAAAGTTGTGAGAGGAGCAGACCCAGTCGGAGGGTGTGAGAGTCAGATTGTCTTTCTGGGAAAACAAAAGCTTTTCAGGAACCGTTTGCAGGTACTGCCATTATGGTCCTGAGAGCAAGTCACCTGAGGGTGTGGAGCCTGGGGAGAAAACAGTCTGAAATTCTGGGGACCTTCAGGCACACTGCACAGCTGACTTCTTCCGCTGTTGAGACTGATGGAAAGTAGGCCAGCTGGCTAGTCAGCACCTCCTTTCCTCCTGCTCCTCCGCTCTTGTCACAACTTTAAGTTCAAGTAGCTGTGTCGTGCCGGCGTTAGCTGAGCACTCGATTCCATAGGGTGGCCGTGAAAAGTCTGTGCAGACCTCTCTCCCTAGCCCTGAACTCACAGAAATGACTGTCTCAGAGAGCTCCGCTTCCATCTCTTGGTGAAAATCTCTGTCTCTTTATAAAATGTTTAGGTTCTAGAGACCAGCAGCACCAGCCCCCTGGTGTGCAGTGATTCCACCACTTTCCTTGGGGCACCTGTCCTCCTCCTCCTCCTCCATTTTTACTTATTTATTATGTATATTGTTCTGCCTGCATGTTTGCCTACATGCCAGAAGAGGGCTCTAGATCTCATTACAGATGGTTGTGAGCCACCCTGTGGTTGCTGGGATTGAACTCAGGACCTCTGGAAGAGCAGCCAGTGCTCTTGACCTCTGAGCCCTCTCTCTAGCCCCAGAGCAGCTCTTCTTTGCTTCTATTCCATTTTTTCTCTACTTACTAGTTGTAAGTGTTCGCCCTCCTTGGTGAGGGTTTAAGATGTCCCACTTTGTGATCCTCATGGTACTGCCCCAGTGTGTCCTTGGGCAGTTGTCGTCTTCTGACATTACTTCTAGATATCACTCACCACCAGGACACTCGAGATGGAAAGCATCACACTATTGCCAGGTATCTTAGCAGGTCCCCAACAAGCTTGGGAGTAGTTTTAAAAATCCAAAATCACCTAGCAAAAAAAGTATGTTTTGTTTTCAAAGGTTGGGTTTTTTTTTTTCTGTCTGCATGTTTCCTTCACTGTTTATTGTTGAACCCTAAATATAAGTGTGTGTGTGTGTGTGTGTGTGTGTGTGTGTGTGCGCGCGCGCATGTACGTGTGAAGTGTGTTTGGAATGCAGGTCAGTATACCAGCTGTGCAGATACTTAGGAGGGTGTCACGCACAGCAAACAGGATGATCTGTCGATCAGTGCTGGACCGGAAGCAGGTCCAGCAGGGCAGAGCATTAAAACGCTTACAGCATCCGTGGGTAGAACCTCAAGAGGCGTGACAGAAGGCATCACAGAGACCCATGTCAGGCTTGCTGACAGGAAGACTGTGTTTCACACGAGAGTTACACTGGATTAAGAACAGATTAGTGTATTTGAAGACATAGCAAACAGAAAACGTTAAATGTCAAGCTGGCATCCATGATCTGAGAACAACCTAGCCTAACATATGTGTAATTGAACTAAGAAAGGAGTGGAGTGCTTGTTGGACCAGGAAAATATCTGTAAAAACAATTGTTTTTAAGTTTTTATGAAGCAAATTTTACTCTGGGTACTGCCCAGGCCCCTATACCCATGCAGTAGATATTATAAATTATTCATGAAAAATTTCAATGAAAACCACAAATTCCACAGATCTAAGAACTTAAAATTGTTAGTACAGATGTCAGAAATGTCTTTAAATTTAAACTTTATTAAATTTAAACAACTTTACTAGGTTCTAACTTCTGACCCCAAATGGTAATGTGCTTTTTTATAATGAAGACTTTCAGAGGATTTCAGCTATCAGGTTAGTGCAGAAAGAATTGGATTCAAGGATTATGTGTTTTATAAATTGATTTTAATAGGATTTAACTCAACAGCAAGCTCCCATAGCCACTTTCCAACACTCAGTCTTATCCAGGCTATCTTTGATTCATGTGGGATACACTTTCCTGATAATAGTTCATGTAGACATGCTTATATATTATCTATTTCTTAAAACAGTGCCTGTAGCAAATGAATGGATCTAGAAAAACATCATATTTGAGTGAGGTAACACAGACCCAGGCCCAGAAAGACAAATATTGTACATACTCACTCATAAGTAGCTTTTAGACATAAAGCAAAGAAAACCAGCCTACAATTCACAGCCCCAGAGAACCTAGACAACAATGAGGACCCCAAGAGAGACATATATGGATCTAATCTACATGGGAAGTAGAAAAAGATAAGATCTCCTGAGTAAATTGGGAGCACGGGGACCATGAGAAAAGGTAGAAGTGGAGGAGTGAGGAAGGGAGGGAAGCAGAAAAAAAACATAGAGCTCAATAAAAATCAATTTTAAAAAATGCCTGTAGGAAATATTTGTAGTTCAGCAAATATTCCAGTTAGATAAATGATTTCATTTACAAATTTAATTTTGAGTAACCAGGGAAGTAAGGCCAACGTAATAGTCTTATGTAGTACTATTTTTAGCCACTTCAAGCACTATTTGAACAAAAACTAGATAAAACTAGGGGTAGAAACTAAATTCCCGCAAACATACTTGAAAGTAAGTCAGGTGTGGTGTCCCATGCTGCTTGGAAGGCTGAGGGACAGAGATTGAAAGGTCAAGACCAGCCTGGGCAACTTCAACCCTGGTTTCTTGTTATTGTTGTTGATTTTGTTTTTGTTCTTTTTTTCCCCCTTTCGGGTTTTTGAAGCAGGGTTCCTCTGTGAAGCCCTGGCTGTCCTGGAACTTGCTTTGTAGACCAGACTGGCCTCAAACTTAGAGATCAACTTGCCCCAGCCTCTTGAGTTCTAGAATTAAAGGTACAGTGCCATCGTCACCACTGCCTGGCTGCTACGTTATATTTTAAGTGTGCAGTTTTGTTTTTAAAAAAAGTTATAAGACATGCAAAGAAACAAGAAATGCTCCCCACAAGCCACAGTTAAAGTCCTCAGTAAAAACTCTGTTAAGCTTAACAGACAGACATTTTAGTGAGTTGTTCTCAATGTCCACTGAAGGAGACCTGTCTAAAAAGTAAAGACAGGCCTAAGGGTATCTCACAGAGAAGATAATATTATTAAAGAAACCGAAATCAGACCAGAAGAGCCAAGTGGGAACTCTGGAGTCTAAAGCTGCAGTAACTGTAGTGGCAGAGGATTGAGCCAGCTGCAGAGAGAACCAGCAGGTTGGAAGGTGGTTCAACAGGAATTTCCTGATCTGAGGAAGAACGAACAACCAGGAAGCAGTTCCAGATTCTCAGGCCTGTACCACATCACCATCAAATTGGCCTAAGGACAACTTTGGAAGTAGCAAAAAAGAAGCAAGTCATCACAATTGGGGATCTTCGCTAAAATTAACTGCTGTTTCTACTTAGAAAATAGAGAGGCCAAAAGCACAGGAGGAGAACATGTTCAAAATACTGAAGGAAAGCTGTCAATCAAGGTTTCTGTATCTAGAAACAGTTCCTTCAGAGATAACAAGCAAAGTAAAAGATTCTCGTGTGAACAACTACTAGCTTATACCCGACCTTAGAACCTAATTTGGTCAATATAAAGAAATAAATGACCAGTGGTTTAAGTAAACAGACAATATACATACTTCTGTATATTTACTTTTCTGATTTAGGACTTAGTTGTGCAAGCAGCACTGTCTGGCAATGACCACACAGTATATAAAATTCAGTCTGTGGCAATACTGGCATAACTTGGAGGGTGGACATGGTGTGTATATACAGCAGGGGAAACCGTATGGAAATTGGGTTGACAAGCATTAATTTTGGGACTATTGAAGGACAATAGGGACATTTGCCATGGCGCCTTAGCTCCTCTCTGCTGCGGTGATGAAAGACACCAGGACCCAGGACAGCCTGGGAATGAGCGTTTACCTTGGCTTGGGGTCCACAGGGAGAGTCCCTAATGATGAGGGAGGCCTGACAGTGGAAAACAGCCTTGACTGGAAGGGGGATGAGGGTATAAACTCCCACAGCCCTCCCAGTGATGGACTTCCTTTAGCCAGGCTCCACTTTTGAAGGGTTCCATAACCGCCGCAAACAGTGCCACCAGCTGGGCACTAAGTGTTCAAATAGAAGAGATTGAGAGAAAAAATTTTCACTCAAAGCACCACACATGGGAAATGACAAAATGTTATGTAAATCATATCATAATTATACTAAGTGAAAATGGCTTGTTTTCCAATTAAAAGGTTAGGAAGGCCAAAATTGAAGGAAACAAGTAAGCTAATTATATACCACCTACAAGAGACTCATATTTAAAGACTAAAATATGTCGAAAGTAAAAGGCTAGAGAAGACTTGGAAACAGTAATTGAAAGAGGTCATAGCAGCTAAACTAAGAGCAAGGAAAAGACTGAGAAGTTATTGCTAGTGTTGAGAAGTGCAGTTTGCAATGATGATGAAGGGTCAGCAGGTCCAAGTTATGGGCGTGCATGGCTGTAGAGTTCGAATGAGAAATGTCTCCCTCAGGCTCCTGCATTTGAACCCTGGTTCCCAGCTGATGCCCCTCTTCGGCAGGTTGAGAAGCTGTGGCCTAACTGGATGAAGTTTGATGGGAGATAAATTCTCACTATGTAGTTCATGCTGGCCTCAAATTTGAGATCCTCCTGCTTCAGTCTCTCATCTGCCGAAGACAGCCATGTACCGATACACCTGTATAAGATTACAGATTTAAAATATCAAATAAAATAAATATTTTCTCCTATGGGATTACTTTTTTGCCTCTAAATTTTGTTTCTTTGTTTCTTTTTGAGACAGAGTCCCACTGTGTAGCTCTGGCTGCCTTAGAATGCACTATGTAGACCAGTCTGACCTGAACTTAGCAGAGATCCTCGTGCCTCTGCCTTCCAAGTGCTGGGATCACAGATGTGAACCACCATGCCTGGCTTTATTTCTAAAATTTTTAGAAGTGAAGATTTATCGTAGCCTAAGAATATATAGAGTAAGCTGGGCAGTGGTCATGCACTCTTTAATCCCAGCACTTGGGAAGCAGAGACAGGTAGAACGCTGTGAGTTCAAGTCCAGCCTGGTCTACAGAGTAAGTTCCAGAATAACCAGAGCTACACAGAAAAACTCTGCCTTGAAAAACAAACAACAAACAAAAAGCAAAATAGAAGAATATATAGAATAAAACTCTTACCAATAAATTGTTTTATCATTTTGGTATGGTAAGTTGAGAAACATCTCATTTAAACATGTCCTTTATGGGATGGGTATCTCAGAGGTTAAAAATGCTGGCTTCCAGGCCTGCCAGCCTGGTGGACGGAGACAACTGGCTGCTGCAAGGGCTCCCTGTGCCCTCACACCTGAGCTGTGCCCCCCCCACACACACACAATAAGTAAATAAACAAAGATATAAAATAGCCTTGTGCTTTAAAGAAGTGGTGTGTGGTGATGGACGTTTAGAAAGGGAAGTTGTTCACACTGACTTTCTGTTCTTTCCTAACACAATTGCAAAGACCTAAAGTTTTCTCGAGCATTTGAGCATGTTTTTAAAATACAATGTTATAACACTCTCTGAGCTTTTTCATGGTAATTTATAATATATGTGTAACTTATAATACTTTGTTGTATATTTCTAGAGGGTCGGAACTAGTTTTGTATGTATCAATATACATGTCATTTTATCTTTTTTTCTTCCAGGTCAAGCAAATAAAGTAGCCAAGGAAGCTGCCAACCGATGGACAGGTAGGTGCTGCAGAGGCACTAGATAGTAGCAAAGGCTCCCCAGTGGTATGCAGTTTTGGTAATACACCAAAGATATTACTGAATCCTCTTACTAAAGTGTCTCTGTGAATCCCTACGCCCGGTTCCTGATCACTGATCTTGCATATCTAAGGGTGTGGTTGAAGTCCCTGTAGTTTTGCTTTTCTGTGGTGCTGGGGATGGAGCTCAAGGCCTCGCACATGCCAGGAGAGTGCCCTCCCTTGATAAATATCTGCAACCTGCAGTCATGTATCTGACTTTATAATCCCCTTTGGGATTTCACAGACTCCTGAAGGTCTGTCTTCTGGAAAACAAGAAGAGCTAAGGTGTTTTGTGGATGCTTTGCTGCTCACAGTGTGGTGTCTTCTCACCTTATCTCTGTGGGAAACTTCAAGCTAGTCGTGAATGTTGTTCCTCAATTGAAGCAAGGCCACATGTGTTGTGCAGCAGGAAGTAGGCTCTGCTGTTTGATTCCTCTCTGTGAGCCTCTTTCTTTTTCTGATCTACACCAGAGATATTCTAAGACAGAGGGTTAATGAGCACTGGCGCCAGGTGTGGCTTCACATCTGGGAGACTGAGGCCAGAAGACCACAAGTACGGCCAGCTGGGCTACATTATGAGGGTCCATCCTGTCAGGCCTACTCTCCCACAAATGCGTTATGTGTGTCCTAAAGTTTAGGAGAAAGTTAGTAATGATTGTTGTGATTTATAGACAAGTATGATCAATAATACTAAACCTGCCAGAAAGAGGCACTGATGTTTTCCAGTGTTTAATAATAAGCTGGTGGTGGTTGAGTTTCTCTACCTGGTCAGAGTCTAATTCCTCCCATGTGTTGGTCATTGTCATTGTGCTCCCATGGGAGAAGGGTACGCACAGGGGAAGCAGAGAGGGAGAGAACATGTGGGGACTGCTGAGTCTCAGGTCAGCCTCTGGGAGACAGGCATGTGTGCCAGGCTTCCTGCTGCCAGGCCCATCCTGCTTTTCACAGAAGATTCAAACCTCATTTTCCCTAATAAATAGAAAATATTAATGAAATTCTCCTTGGGCTCCTGTAAAGCTGTAGAAGTGAGTGAGGTTCACATTGTGAGACGTGGTGACACAGGTGATGCATGTCTGCAATCCCAGCACTGGGGGAGGCGAGGAAGTCAGAGTCCAAGGCCAGTCTTAGCGAGGTGATGGCTTTAAGACTAACCTAGGCCACATAAAAATAATAATGATAAAAATGTGTATTACATAGGTCTGAGAAATAGAGAATTCTGAGGTGAAAATAAAGCAAGTGTCCGTGTGGATTGAAGATAGGATGGGCGGAGCTAACATGGGCAGGAGTTGAGAGGTCAGGTCCACCTAACTGAGGATGCACAGGATGGAAGGTGAGAACGGACTCTGACCTCCATACGTGCACCATGATACACACGTGCTCAGCCTCCCCCAACCAACACAACATAAATAAAAGTTCATGATTCATGATTGTCCTCCAGTGGTTTGCAGGGACACAGCCCTCACACAGTAGGAGCAGCAGAATGCGCTGTGGCAGAAGGAAGTCACTCAGCTCCTCGCTTGCTCTGTGACCCTTTGAACTCCTCAGAACTGGCTCCTCATCTGTCTCTGAATAATCCCACCTCAAGTTTGGAGGGGCTTAAGTAAGAGTCTGCAAGCACTTCAGCATGGAGTTTAGACATCCGTCTCCTTTCTGTGGTTCCCCGAAGCACTGTAAATTCTGGCTATTAAGTCATTACAAATTGTTTCCCAATTAATAATAAACTCACAAAATTGTCATTAGAAAAATTTTTGTAAGAACATTTTTCTCCTTTGAGGTTAGCTGCCCAAAAAAACAAACAAAAACAAAGCAAAAAAAAAAACCAAAAAGCAAACAAAAAAATCATGAGAGTTTGAAAAGCCTGTGGAAGGGATGTTCTTATGGTAACAGAAGTAGCTGTTCAGAACTGTTTCCCAGCCCAGGATGGAGCTCAGGTGGCTGCTTAGCTGTGCAGAGTGGGGTTGGTGGAGTAGGTAGAGGTGGAAGCAGGAGGGTCAGAAGGTCAAGGTCATTCTACCCAACTTGGGCTAATGAGACTTTAAAGTATTTCCACTTAAGGCTCCAGCTAACTCTTCTCACATAAGCATTGTTAGAAAAAGATGAAGAGATAAAGAGAGTTACATCTCAGAACACATCCCTGATTTCGAAACAATAGAAAAGATCAGTGTTGTTTATACAAAAAACCTCAGGTATCAATTAATGTCAGATTTAATTTTACCTAGCAATGTCCTTGAATTGTTTCTGGAACTGTGACTCTCCAGACCAGAGAGGTGTTCTTATAGAGGACCAACGTTTAGTTCCCAGCACCTACATGAAGGCTCATAACCCGTGTGATGCCAGTCCCAAAGTATCCAACACACTTTCCTGGCCTCCAAAGGCTCCTGCGTGCTTGTGGCATAAATAAATTCATGCAGACGCATGCACATACACATAAAAATAGTAAATACATTTTGCTTTATTTTGTTTTTTAAAACAAAGTTTCTCTGCACAGCCCTATCAGTCCTGGAACTCACTCTGTAGACCAGGCTGGCCTTAAACACACAAAGATCCCTCTTCCTTTGCCTCCTGAGTGCTTGGATTAAAGATGTGCATCACCACTACCTGGCTGAAAATAGATTTTTTAAAAATACAATATAATCTGAGTGTGCTCTCCCAAGAACTCCTCCCTACCTCCCCACCCACCCAGTCCTCACCCTTACTTTCTCCCTCTCATTAGGAGACTAGTGTTACCTAGAAAACAAAAACAAAAACAAACCAGAATAGGACAAAACAGACGAACAGAAGAAGAGCCAAAGGAAAAGTTCAAGCACATAGATACAGAATTTGCCCACACAGAAATCCCATAAAAACAAAACCAGAAACCAAAATATGTAATATTTTTAAAAAAAGAATATCTATTGTTTAATAACACAACATGTTAGTTTATAGAATGAGAGATTTCAGCCAGGTGGTGGTGGCGCACACCTGTAATCCTAGCACTCAGGAGGCAGAGGCAGGAGGATTTCTATGAGTTTGTGGCCAGCCTGGTCTACAAAGCAAGTTCCAGGACAGCCAGGGATGCACAGAAAAATTCTGTCTTGAAAAAAATCCTGTCAACAAAAAATAAATAAAAAGGAAAAAAAAGGGTTTTAAATATAGTTGAACTGTATCTTATTTATGTTTTGTGATACTTCACATCTTATTTAACCAATTACATCTTAATAAATTCAGGTATTAGAGACTTAGTGACTTAGTTTTCTGTGCTAGGAATCCAAAGGCATCACTGCAAAATCTTACATTGATATTTGTTGTACAAGGAGCGGGCCTGCTTTTGGTCCCAGTGCCCAGCTAGCTTACACCCGAAATAACCACACAGAAATTGTATTAATTAAATTACTGCCTGGTCCATTAGCTCTAGCCTCTTATTGGCTAACTCTCATATCTTGATTTAACCTATTTCTAATAATCTGTATTGCTACTTGACTATGACTTACCAGCCTGAGTCTAGCCAGCATCAGTCTTGGGCAGGAGAATCATAGCGTCTGCCACACTTCCCTTCTTCCCAGCATTCTGTTCTGTCTGCTCCGCCCTCCTAAGGGCTGCCCTATCAAAAGTCCAAGGCAGTTTCTTTATTTAAACAATGAAAGCAACACAAATACAGAAGGACCTCCTACGCCAGATATTGAGTATAAAACCATATTAACTAACAGGAATTAAGACTTACAAACAAGTCTTAAGGTTGTTTTCTTTAAAAGAATAGTCTCTGTCCACTTATAAAATTATATATAATAGGAGAAGTATTTGATAGGAAGTGCAATGTCAGGATTATATATGGCACCAGCCTAATAAGGCAGCCCTCCAGTGGCCTGCGGAAGGCTTGACCAGCACCTTTGAACTGACCCCTACGCACCACAGGGTGGCTTTTGTTGGTCATTTGGTTTTAGTCTTTGGATGTTTTCTTGTCCTTAAGGAGACCTAGCAGCTCCTTTCTTCAGAGCCATCGAAAGCTACTTTGTGCCACATTCTTTTTCCAACCCAGGTCACGGTGTCTTCCCACAGCCACCTCTTCCGCGTGTGCAGTGCACAAGTGCTGTCTCCCGTCTCACATTCTGCCGTGTGTGCAGTGCACGAGTGCTGTCTCCCGTCTCACACTCTGCCGTGTGTGCAGTGCACGAGTGCTGTCTCCCGTCTCACACTCTGCCGTGTGTGCAGTGCACGAGTGCTGTCTCCCGTCTCACACTCTGCCGCGTGTGCAGTGCCCAAGTGCTGTCTCCCGTCTCACACTCTGCCGCGTGTGCAGTGCACAAGTGCTGTCTCCCGTCTCACACTCTGCCGTGTGTGCAGTGCACAAGTGCTGTCTCCCGTCTCAC